CCTGAGCAGACGTAGCTACCTGAGGAGGCTCGGTAGCAAGTGTGTACAGACTCGACCCTGGCCGACGAGTGAACGTGGCCAGGTGACGCCCCGTTCGTGTGCACGTGCAGATCGACACACGCTGACCCCCAGGAGTGGTGGTAGTGACCATTGCATCTTGGAGGGCAGAGGTACTCACCAAGTTCGTAGAGAACGAGGGGAGGTGAAGACCTGAAAGTGAGCCGGACGAAACCGCCGGACACAAGAGGACAGTGGAGGAACGGGCAACGACCGGGCCCCCAGAGGGGTCAGCTAGTCTGACCGGGACAGGTGCAAGGAGAGGAGTGAGAGTGGTGCTGTCACGAAAGAAACAGCGCGAGGCGCCTGAGTCCAACGTGAAGGTATGCAAGGCCTAAGTAGGCGCAGCACCAGGGAGAGTACCAGACTCACTAGCACCTAGAGCAGCAGCAACTATACCTGGGTCAGGCGGCACACACCGGTAACAGTCACCCTCAGCACTAACAGACAAAGCATACATAGCAGAAAGAATAGCATCATAGTCTAGGAAAAAGATAGCACCCCTAGACCGAAGTAGATCTGCCCAGCAAGGGAGCTCGACGTCGTCACCAAACTCAGCACGCCAAGCGTCGTCGAGGCGGGAGAAGCAGCGGTGCTGACTGTGAAGCTTCCCGCATGTCTGACCAGCACGAACACCCGTGGGAATGACATACGGGCAGCTATCACTACCCACAGACGTCCCACGCTGAAACAATCACTCACGAAGCTGCTGGGGCGACTGGGTCTCGCTCCGACGCTGCTGCTGCTGCCGCTGGCCACCACCAGGGCCTCCATGCCGAGGTCCAGTCCTACCGCCTCCAGTCCCACCGCCTCCACTGCCGCCACTCCCACCGCTGCCTCCATCGCCACCACCAGAGCCCCCACTCCCGCCACCAGTCCCACCGCCGCCACCACCTCCACTGCCTCCACTACCTCCACTGCTGCACCCACCACCCGCTGCCACCTCCACCACCACCGCTGCCACCTCCACCACCCCTGCCATCCTTGCCCTTGCTGCTGCGGCGCTTCGCACTAGTAGAAGCAGCCCCAACGTCCTCAGCAACAGAGACGTCTGCAGCAGCAGCAGAGGCGTAGGAGGGGGCAAGGGGGGAGGGGGAGCACCCCTCAAAGAAGGGTGGGCGCGGAGTGCCACGAGCAGCACCTACAGCAACCGCACTAGTCTCAGCTGCGAGGAGATGGTGCTCGAGGAGGTCAACAGTGAGGGAGGTGGGGTCAAGGGAGAGAAAGTGGTCCCTAACAGAGCGAAGAGAGGCAGGGAGGCGAGTGACTAAGAAGTAGAGGGTGATGAACATCGGGGGCTGGTTCCGGTCAAGGAACTCAGCAGGGACGATAGCGCGGTAGCGAGCGTCGCTAGTGCGCAGGTGGGAAACCAGGTCCTCTACTGTGGCAAAAGCTGACAGCTCGAGGAACAAGTAGGGCAGTAGCAGTCGTCCTAGCAGTAGCAGTGGCAAGCGAGGAGTAGCGAGCGACTACAGCGTCGTACAGGGCCTGTGCTGTCCGAAGTGAGCGCATTCGGCTAACCGCAGGTGGTTGCGAATGGCTAAGCGGGCAGCAGCGTCGTGCGTAAGCCACTGTGAGCGACTCGCATTGTCAGCTGTGGCGGGAGGGGCGGTAGTGGCACCTGACGCGAGGTCAAACAGCGACACACTGTCCTTAGAATCGCTCAGTAGGTACAGTTGTAGGTCATCGAGCCACGTGTCAAACTGAGCCGGTCTGCCCTCATGATCGAACGCAAGAACCCTTAGCAAAGCCATAGTGGCGCAGTATGCAGGAGCAGCAGTAGCAGCAGTAGCAGCAGTAGCAGCAGTAGCAGTAGCAGCAGTAGCAGTAGTAGTGGCCAAGGGGCCGAGGGGCCTGGGGCCTAGGGGCCGAGGGGCCGAGGTCGAGGGGGGGGGCGAGGGGCCGGGGGCCTAGGGGCCAAAGGGCCGAGGTGCCAGGGGCCTAGGGGCCAGGGGCCGAGGGGCCAGGGGGCCGAGGGGCCGAGGGGCTTGGGGCCAAGGTGGACGGGGCCGCGGGGCCAGGAGAGTAGGGGCCGAGGGCCTAGGGGCAAATGGGCCGTGGGGCCAGGGGAGACGGGGCCAAGGGGCCTAGGTCGACAGGGCCGCGGGGCCAGGAGAGGAGGGGCCGAGGGGCCTCGGGCCTAGGGCGACGGGGCCGCGGGGCTAGGGGCGACGGGGCCGAGGGGCCGGGGACCTAGGTCGACAGGGCCGCGGGGCCAGGAGAGTAGGGGCCGAGGGGCCGGGGGCCTAGGGGCGAATGGGCTGCGGGGCCAGGGGAGACGGGGCCGAGGGGCCTAGGCCGACGAGGCCGGAGGGCCAGGAGAGTAGGGGCCGAGGGGCCTCGGGCCTAGGGCGACAGGGCCGCGGGGCCAGGGGCAACGAGGCCGAGGGGCCGGGGGCCTAGGTCGATAGGGCCGCGGGGCCAGGAGAGTAGGGGCCGAGGGGCCACGGGCCTAGGGAGGCGGGGCCGCGGGGCCAGGGGCGACGGGGCCGAGCGGCCGGGGGCCTAGGTCGACGGGGCCGGGGGGGCAGGAGAGTAGGGGCCAAGGGGCGAGGTCCGAGGGGCCGCGGGGCGACGTGTCGCGAGGGGCCGTGGGGCCGAGGTCTAGGCGAGGGGCGACGGGCGACGGGCCGCGACGGGCGATGGGCCTAGGGCGACGGGGCCGAGGGGCCAGGGGCGACGGGGCCGAGGGGCCGGGGGCCTAGGTCGACGGGGCCGCGACAGGCGACTGGCAACGGGGGTCGCGACGGGCCTAGGGCGACGGGGGTCGTGACGGGCCTAGGGCGACAAAGGGGCCAGGCTAGGGGCGACGAGCGACCGGGGGGGGGGGGGGGGGGGGGGGGAGCGGGCTAGGGGCGACGCCAAGGGGCGACGGGCCGGGCTAGGGGTGGCGACGGGCCGGGGCCTAGGGGCGACGGGCGCGTGGCTACGGGCCGGGGCCTAGGCTAGCAGGGCAGCAAGTGGTGGGCCCAAAAAAACGGTCCTAGGAAGGGACCTGCTCTGAAACCATATCAGAATAACGAACGAGAATGAATGAACTAGCAAAGAGTTGGGTACAAGTACTAACCCTAATTGGGTTGTACCCCTTATGGGCTACCCCACTACAGCCTACACAATGTAAGCTATATACAAGTTTGACAGAGATGGGTGGTGCGCACGTTCGAGCAAACTCACATGGTGGACTTCAACCTCACCTACGCGCCTGTCGGACGACACACCTCGGTATGCATCCTCATCTGCATCGCAGCCGTCAAACAGCGGCCACTCCGTCAAATCGACGTCGGCAGTGCATTCCTGTACGCTCCCGTCGACGCCATCATCTTCGTTGAGCAGCCGCATGCCTTCGAGGAGCGCAACGGCGCCGTCTGCCTTCTTCAGAAATCCCTCTATGGGATTCAACAGGCGCCCTGACTGTGGCAGCAGTACCTGCACATCGTCCTCACGGAGCTCGGATTCAAACAACTACCGCATAACAACAGGATCTACTCTACACCGGCGACGACACGGAGCTGCTGAACCATTTTGAGGCAGACATCAAAGAGAAGGTAGAAGTGACAATCAACCACAACGTCATGCAATTCCCGGGCCTCAACATCACTCAGTCCGCCACCTCCATTCACCTTTCCGCCGCCAAGTATGCGGAAACACTCGCGAAGAAATTCGCTGCCGTGCCGATCAATCTCACTACTCCCTACCGCACTCCTCCTCCTAATCATGAACCAGATACCACACCGCTCTCCATCGACAATCATCAGCTCTATCAACAGCAGCTGGGGTATCTCCTGTTCGCTGCCGTCACGTGCCGGCCCGATCTCTCCTACGCCGCAAGCCAGCTCGCACAGTACCTGAAGCGACCTGAAGGGGGGAATTTACTGGATCTACACCGAGCACTTCAATACTTCGTCTCTACTCCTGATGTCGGCCTCACCTACGAAGCTAACCTAACTGCTACCCTGCAGCTCCATGGCTACGTCGACGCAGACCACGCAGGAGAAATTGACATCAGATGCTCTCGCGCACGATTCATTTTTCAACTCCAACATGCTGGGCTCATTTCTTGGAACTCTCAGAAGTAGGAACTCATCGCCCTTTCGTCAGCCGAAGCTGAGTTCATCGCCGCCATAGCAGCTATTCGCGAAGGACTGTAGCTGATGGAGCTCCTGCAAAAAGCGAAATTGACGATGAACGGGCACTTCACGTTACTCTGCGACAACCAGAGCGCGATCAAAATCGCGAACAAGCCCGGCTTCGTGAACCGCACGAAACACATCGCACTCCGTAACTTCTTCGTCAAAGACGAAATCGACAAAGGGAAGGTCAAACTCACATACTGCCCAACTGGTGACATGGCAGCAGACTTCCTGACCAAAAAGCTGCCACGTCAGAAGTTTCAGCACTGCACCGACCTCTGCGGGATCTCGAAGAAATCCCACGTGGCTCGCCTTCAGGAATGAAGGGGAGTGTTGGAATAACCTAAAAGGTTACAGTAACATTCCCGAAGGCTCTCCACTCGCGCGTCACTTCATAACTAAGCTACGCGCCTGTATCATTATCGCAATGGCTCATAAAGAGCATGCGGAGGGTCGAGGGTCACCCCAAGGTCAACAGTCGAAGACAGTCAATGGTCGTGACCCTTGACTGCTCAGTAACCGCACTTGGAAGTTACGCGATGCAACACGGTAACTTTCAAGAATAGCAATAGTCGTGGTTACTGTAGCAATGCAATTCAGTTAATAAGGGAATGTACCCCTCGGAGTACATGGCTAGCTAGGATTGCTATTTATATATTTGTACCACTATCCTTTAATCATCTTGTTCTCTTTCAACTTATTGACAAGGTCATTACAAGACTTCATTGTCTTCTCTCAGACTTGACAGACTTATCCTATCCACTACGATCCTTCACTTATAACAACACACAAGACCGTGTGCCACCAATCGTCTTAGTGCCACAGCTCCTCTATGTGCTCTTGCGCCTGCTGCTGCACCCTCGTGCCACCAAACTTGAGAAAGCACAGCTTCGTCCTGCACAGCCCCCGACACTAGAGGAGGTAGCACACTCACATGGTGATGCAGGGAGGAGAGATGGGGAGGCAGGGAGAAAAAAGGGGAGGCAGGGAGGTGAATAGACGCGAATGGAAGGGAATGGAAGGGAACGGAAGGGAAGGGAAGGGAGGAGAGAGGAAGGGAAGTGCAGGGAGGACAAAAGAAAGGAAGGAAAGGGAAGGGAGGATAGGGGAAGGGAAGTGCAGGGAGGACGAAAGAAGGGAAGGGAAGGAGAGGGAAGTGGGGGGAATAGAAGGGATTGGAGGGGAATGGAAGCGAAGGGAAGGGAAGGGTAGTGCATTGTGAGGGAGTGAGAGGGATATTCTGTGAAGGGGAACGGGGAGTGCGACCTGGGGGGAGGGGAAGTGCGACCTGGGGGAAAGGGGAGGTATGACCTGGGCGAAAGGACAGGTGCGACCTGGGGGAAAGAGAAGGTGCGAAGCGAGGGGAAGGGGAAGTGCGACCTGGGGGAAGGGGAAGTGCGACCTTTGGGGAAGGGGAAGTGCGACCTGGGGGGAGGGGAGGCGCGAGGTGGGGGGAGCATACGTGACAAGGGGAGAGGAGGTGCGACGGGGGGCAGCGCGATGAGGGGTGGGGAGGCGTGACGAGAGAAGGCACGATGAAATGAGGGTAGGGCAGGGTCGGCCTTTTAGAAGAGCCCTTCCCCATAACCTCTTTGCCCATCACACAGGCCAGTGCGACGGACAGATGGTGTGGTGGAGAGGTGGGTGGGTCGGGGATTGGCGAGGGGGGAAGTGGAAAAACGAGCAGCGAGGAGGGGAGGGCAAATTCAGAGGCGGATCCGTCCTGACGGATTCGTCCTGACGGATTCGTCCACGTGGATTCGTACACGGATTCGTCCTGACAGATTTGTCCTGACGGATTCGCCCTGATGGATTCGTCTTGACGTATTCGCCCTGACGGATTTGTCCTGACAGATTCGTCTTGACTGATTCGTCATGTCAATATTGAGGTAGATCCAGAATATACTCCTACCACCCACCCACCTACCTTGAAATAAGAGCTCCATAGCGACGTCAGTGGCGCCGGCGAGCTCTTCTCGCAGCACCCGGTCCAGCCGCGAAGCCAACGACGGTGGTAATTGCAACACAAGACGATCCTCCATGACCTTTGCAAACCCTTGGAAAAACACTCGCGGATGTGGGATTGGCTTTTGAGTCTAGCGTGGTGTTTCGGCTTCTGTCACCTTGGGGTCCTTGCAGTCACTTAGAAGGCCGTTCGGGTTGACGGAACCACATCCATTCCGTCGCGAGCCGCGACTAACGGCTACTTCAATTTGTGTAGATGACAGTACTACATTTGCTGGCGGCGTAGTGCCTGCGTTTTATATACGAAGCTTTACCGCGACGCGTTCAAGAACAAGCTTCAGCCGAATTTCTAATGCGCGAACGAGCGTGCTTTAGGAATGGTTATAGGAGTCTAGAAATTATAACTTCAACTAGGCGTGCTCAGGTATGAGTGCCTACTCTCGGGACGTTTTTCTGAGGCGATTGAGGCGACTGAAACATGTGACAACGAGGTTTATCGCTTGGTCATTTGCGCTCCCTTCTAGATTTCCGCCCTTTCCGCGTATTCTCTCCGACCAAACCTTCGTACGAAATAGGTTGGCTTCGCAGCCTTGGGTGAACTCCTCGCCCCAGCTTTCCGTACCCCAGGCCAGTTCGCCAACGAATCAGCAAGCGTCGGAGGGTGTACACTCACAATGCCCTAAAAAACCACCCCCATGAATGTGCACCCTTGCTTTAATGGTGTGGGTATTGCTGCAGATGCTGTAGGGCGTGGCTTAAACCAAGGTCTCACGTAGATCAATAGTTTTGCAGTTGATGACTTGACCTTGTTTAGGATTGGTTGGCGAGGTGTAAAGAACGACGAGGGGTGTGGCGAGGGGAGCGAAGGAAATACCGTATAAATCGCACTTTGTGTCCGAACCATCTCGACACGGAAATTGGTTCGGTGCCAAAGCTAGAACACCAGCAATTTTTGCGAGCATCCCGTCAGTCTCATGTTACCCATCAAAATGTCTTGCAATTGCTTCAGAGGAAAAAACGAGAGGTGTCGCACAGTCAATTGCCAAACCAACACCTAGACTTCGCCACCTCAAATAGGGTGACTATATCAAACTATATGTTTGTGTTCTCTCTAGGCTATAGTGGGTTAGCCTACAAGAGGTACAACACTTGAGGGTTACTACTTGTACCCAACTCATTCATAGTTCATTCATTCCTGCACTGTTATTCTGACATGGTATTCAGAGCAGGAAACCTGTTAAGTTTTTAGGGCCCACCGATAGTTTTGCTCGTTCTTGCCCGAAGCGCCCTTGTGCTGTCCGGCCCTGCTCGCACAGTGTCGCGCTGCTCTGCAGCTACTCGCACTGCCTGCCCCCCCCCCCCCCCCCCCCCCCCCCCCCCCGTACGTCGCGCCCTGCTGCAGCCCGCGCGTCGCGCTCTGCTGCTCCGTGCCTCACGCCCTGCTGCAGCCTGCACGTCGCGCCCTGCTGCCCTATGCGTCGCGCCCTGCTGCAGCCAGCGCGTCGCACTCTACTGCCCTGCGCGTCGCGCTCTGCTGCCCTGCGCGTCGCGCCCTGCTGCCCTGCGCGTCGCGCCCTGCTGCAGCCAGCGCGTCGCACCCTGCTGCCCTGCGCGTCGCGCCCTGCTGCAGCCAGCGCGTCGCGCCCTACTGCAGCCAGCGCGTCGCGCCCTACTGCAGCCAGTGCGTCGCGCTCTGCTGCCCTGCGCGGCGTGCCCTGCTGCAGCCAGCGCGTCGCGCCCTACTGCAGCCAGCGCGTCGCGCTCTGCTGCCCCTCGCGTCGCGCCCTGCTGCAGCCAGCGCATCGCGCCCTACTGCAGCCAGCGCGTCGCGCCCTACTGCAGCCAGTGCGTCGCGCTCTGCTGCCCTGCGCGGCGCGCCCTGCTGCAGCCAGCGCGTCGCGCCCTACTGCAGCCAGCGCGTCGCGCTCTGCTGCCCCTCGCGTCGCGCCCTGCTGCAGCCAGCGCGTCGCGCCCTACTGCAGCCAGCGCGTCGCGCTCTGCTGCCCCACACCTCGCGCCCTGCTGCCCTGCACAGCACGCGCCCTGCTGCCCTGTCCACCGCGTGCCCTGCCCTGCAGCCCGCGGCGCACCCTGCCCGGCCGAGCCGCGCTGCCCAGCCCGAGCCGCGCCGCCCTACCTTGATCACCACCCCCACCGAGCCGCCCTGCTGCCACTATTGCTGCTGCTCGTGCTACTGCTGTTGCTGGTGGAGGTGCTGCTGGGAGTGCTAGGAGTGCTGCTGGTGCTAGGGGTGCTTGAGGTGCGACTGGGAGTGCTGGAGGTGCTGCTGGTACCGGAGGTGCGATTGGGAGTGCTGGAGGTGCTGCTGGTGCCAGAGGTGCTGGACCTACTACTCACCGTCACTGCCTGTCATGGCCACTATCATGGCCTGTCATGGCCACTATCACGGCAGTTGCAGCGGCTAGGGGTGGACAGCGGCGGTCACTGCCTCTCCCGGACGACCCCACCCCTCGGCAGCTTCACGAGTGGGTTCTTCAGCGAGCCCGTCCAGGTGGTGGAGGCTTTGGTTTTCTACGTATTGCACAGAGGCGGCAGCAGAGTCAGCAGGAGACCTTTTCCCCTCAGGTGCTTAGTGTGTTGTTTCCTCAGCGATGTGTCACTGGTTCTGTCAAGGCTGCTGCACTAGGTGCTAGTGAGTCTGCTGCAGCACTAGGTGCTAGTGAGTTTGCTGCAGCTTTAGGTGCTCGTGCGTCTCCCGCCACAGGTCCTTCCTCAGCTGAGGCCTTCCACACTTTCACACTTGACTCAGGCACGTCACGTTGCTTCTTTCGTGACTGCACCACACTCACACCACTTGCTGCACCAGTACCGGTCTCACTGGCTGACCCCACTGGGGGCCCAGCAGTCGCACAAGCCTCCACTGTCCTCCCGTGTCCAGCAGTCCCCTCCGGTTCTCTGTCAGGTCTCCACCTCCCCACGTTCTCTACGAACTTGGTGAGCAACTCTGCCATTCAGGATGTCTGGGTTGATACCTTTATTCCTGGAGGGCAGCGTGTGGCAATCTGTACGTGCTCCCGGACTGGCCGTCACCTGGCTACGTTCACTCGACGACCTGGGTCTAGTCTGTACACACTGACCACTGCGTCTGCACAGGTGGTTGAGGCAGGTCAGATGGCTGCGTCGAGTCAGGTGTCTGCGTCTGGTCAGCTTGCAGCGTATTGCTCATGTCGGGTACTCTCCCACCAGACTCTCCTCTGGCACCACTGCCTCGGTCACCCTCCCTACTGCGTCTCCGCGGTATGCACTCCCGTCTCCTTGTCTCTGGCCTTCCCAGGTCCCTTCCCTCCCTCCCGCGCTCGCTTGCCCAGCTGTGCCTTCCCTGCATCGAGGGGCGGCAGCTCGCCGCTCCTCACTCCTCCGATTTTCCTCCGACCACTGCTCCTCTGCAGACTCTCCACATGGACGTTTGGGGCCCAGCCCCCGTCGGTGGAACGGACCAGGAGCGCTACTTCCTGCTGGTTGTTGACGACTACACACGTTACACCACTTTCTTCCCCTTGCGGCGCAAGGTGGACGTCAGCGGTGTTTTGATCCCTTGGATCCGTGCTACTCGTCGCCATTTGCGCGAGCGGTTCAGTCAGGACTTTCCAGTCCTACGTCTGCTCTCTGACAGGGGCGGCGAGTTCTCTTCTGACCTCCTTGTGGAGTTCTGTCGAGATGAGGGCATCGTCTAGAAGTTCACGCTTCCGACCTCTCCTCGGAAAAATGGGATTGCTGAGCGTCGCATTGGCTTGATCATGGAGGTGGCTCGTACCTCCATGATCCATGCGGCTGCTCCCCATTTTCTGTGGCCGTTTGCGGTCCGATACGCTACGCATCAGCTCAACCTCTGGCCCCGTGTCTCTGAGCCAGAGACCTCGCCCACACTTCGGTGGACGGGGAAGGTTGGCAATGCGTCGGTGTTTCGGGTCTGGGGCGCTCTCTCCCTTGTTCGCGATGCCAAAGCGAGCAAGCTATCCTCTCGCACTCTCCGCTGTGTCTTCCTTGGCTTCCCCACCGATGCCCTGCCGTGGCACTTTTACCACCCGCACTTGCGTCGAGTCTTCTCCTCCCATGACGTCACCTTTGACAAGTCTGTCTATTACTACAGGCTACACCCGCACGCGTCCCACCCAGTCCCCCTAGCGCCTCTTTTCTTGGTACCAGACCCCCCCCCCCCCCCCCCCAATGGACCCCCTCCCCCCACAGGGTCCTGCTCCCTCAAGTGTGTCTCAGGTAGACTCACCCCCCTTGGTTGAGCCTTTGGAGATCTCTTCTAACTCCTCTGGCCCAGTCGAGGGGGGTGACCCCGCCACTGACGACACGGCGGCCACTCGCCGCTCTCCATGCTTGGAGACCCCCCCTGGTTTTCTGCCTCGGCCGTCTTCGCAGCCTCTTCAGCCTGCTGCTGTGGACTCTGGAGCTGAGCCTGCTGGTGCTAAGCCTGGGGGTGCTGAGACAGAGGGTGAGGGTTCTGTGGTTGCTGCGACTGGGGGTGCTGTGACACGGGGTGCTGGTTCTTGGGGTGCTGCGACTGGGGGTGCTGACTCTGGGGGTCCTGCGAATCCTAGTGGCGGTGGAGCTGTGGGTGACCTTGCTGGAGGTCCTGGAGCTGGACACCCACCACAGCCTGACCTACTTGAGATGCTCTCGCCGCAGGCGATTCGTGCATGGATCGTTCCGCGAGGCAGTCCTGGTGGTGGAGGGTACAGTCTTGCTGGTGCTGGAGCTGCTGGTCCTGGAGGTACTGGTGGTGCTGGAGGTATTGGAGGTACTGCTGGAGGTGCTGCTGGTGCTGGAGGTACTAGAGGTGCTGCTGGTGCTAGAGGTGCCGGAGCTACTAGTCCTAGAGGTGCTACTGGTGCTGGAGGTACTGGACCTACTAGTCTTGGAAGTACAGCTGGTGCTGGAGGTGCTGGAGGTGCTGCTGGTGCTGGAGGCGCTGGAGCTGGAGGTACTGGAGGTGCTGGAGCTGCTAGTCTTGGAGGTGCTCGTACTGGAGGTGCTAGAGCTGCCGAAGCTAGTGGTGCTGTTCGTGCTGGAGGTGCTACTGGAGTTGCTGGCAGTGGAGGTACTG